TGTTATTCACTATAACAAGAAGCATATACAAGTATGTATATATGCGTGTAACGCTCGCATCGTATATGCAGATGCAGAGTCTGTGAAAATGTTACATCATACATATTTACGATGTCAATAAAAAATGTATATTGCGAATTTAACTATTTCATTATATTATTATCACTATGACTGATACCCTAGACAACAAAGAGCGAGGGGAGCCGCGTGTTTAGAGTAGTGTTCAATAAACCGGCCCATATCTTTCCTGGCGATACTTTCAAGGCTTTCGGAAAACCGCTTGCTGTGCGTCTTAACAACATAATTAAAGAGATATCGGTGCATCAGTTTAGCTTTCGAAAAAAAAAAAAACACTACACTATAAACTAATTGCATAGAATAAACCGATTAATTGAAAATACCTTTGAAAAAATTTTGGTCTGCCGTCTTCCTCGACGTTTCTAAAGTCTTTGATAAATTTTGCCATGGCGGGATCCTAAACAAAATTAAGATGATTTTACCGAAATAATATTACAATGTCCATACCTTTCGGACCGTTTTTTCGATTTAAGCATGTAGATATGTACTCTGATTGAAAGAAAATAAATGCTGGTTTTCCCCAGGGTAGTGTGTTAGGAGCCATCCTATACCTCCTCTTTAGCTGACAATGAAATAAAAAACAATGTGTTACATACTGTCCACGATCTTCTAATGACAGACTGTCAGTTGAAAATGCCCTCTATATACGTTGTTTCATAACAGTTCGAGTCGAAACTGAACTTTAAAGACGAACCAGCCTTGAACATGACGAAGACTGTCCTATCGGCTAGAAAGGGAATGACCATAATTTTCTGGGTTTGTACGTTGGTTTACTAGAGAATTTGTTTGGCTTATTTGCAATAAGCCGAATTATAACGAAGACGGTCCCCTATCTTCGCCGACGCCACGGTCAAGTGGGTGAATTAGGCCACGAAGAAGATTTTGCTTCGAGCGACTACTTTTTGCTTCCAAACTTGAAGAAATCTAAAACTAAGGCGAAATTTTAGTCGTATATTTGTATGTCAATGCTGTTAATTGGACCACATGCATAGTTTGAATCTTTAGAACATTTTATCATATGGATATCCTCACACCCTCATAAGCAGTAAAATCGATGTATGTACATACTATATACAGGTACGGATACAGTTAATAACAGAACGTACGAGTATCGAGAAAAGCTAAATCGCAGCAAAACCTGTTTTTATCAAAGCGCGCATTGCCACCGCAAATTAAATGCAAATGGTATTGAAATTTTACAAAAATTAAATATTTACGATTAATAATGATGAATGCAATTATGATGATATATAAAATTGCATATTGTTGTCTGTCCGCTCAGTTGTTGAAAATATATTCGCAACGTAAGAAGCAACTGAGTTCAGCAGAGATTTTATGTATAGTAACAATGGTGGAATTCTGGGGCATCTTCGTGGTATTTTCTGCTTGCGCTGCAATCCAGGTACGTTAGCACCTACAAAATTATGCCACAAAGTAATGCAATGTTTTTGCTGCGTTTGACAGCTGACTGAGTCGCGAATTCAGCACGCTTACCGTCCAACCAGTCTCAGCGACTCTTACGAATTATCGGACATATCAAATAGTATAAGCGACTCCTCAAAAGATGATTCAAGCTCTTTTCTACATGCAAATACATATGAAGACCCTTCGGTTACTTCTACGCGTGCAACGCAAGAGAAGCCAGCGAATTCAGTACCGCACGTGGAACATTCAACATTAAAAGAATCAACCGAATCAAATGTGGAGAGCACAACCCCTAGTGCAACTACACGGAAGATACGTTTGAGCTTAAGTGAAAGGCGTGAAGCATTACATGTATTAACCTACAATCTTTTGTTGGAATATTCGAAAGATTACGTTAGTAAAACACGGGACGTCATGGAAAAACTTATTCATGAACTGGAATCGTTAACCGAAAAGACTGACGATGTTAAAGATAGGCTAACTGAACTAAAAGCTGCTCTAAAAGAATTGGAGGGTTTCGGTATAGAACCTGATGACTTAGAAGAAGCCTCCGAAATTGTCACTAAACTGAATAACGAGCTTGATGAACCTGTAAATGAGCCGCCACAAGTGGTCGCCGCGCTCGAAAAGGTTGGCTGGATGAATATGCGTTACGAGCTGGGCGATGAAATGTTTGCAATTACCGATAAATTTGCCATAGCATTCAATCAGTTTGTGGCTACGCTAACGCCGTGGGAGCGATTGACGGAAGCCGGATTGGTCGATCTTAACAAACGGTTTAACGACGCCTCAACTGTTGACCGATGGGATTTGTTCCCTGAGTTTTGGGAATATTTAACAGAGAGCTATAACTAACGTAATAGGAACTTGTGTTAACGGATCTCTCTTATTTTGTATATTATGTTATTATTTCATGACTTGTAGAAATTTTATTAAAGTCTTAAAATCAAGTTTTAAATATATAAAATTCATTAAATTATTTTTATTTTTCTACTATGCTTTGCTTATCATTTTTATCTCTTTAATTAAAAACTTATATATTCCTTCTTAAAAAATTGTTTTAGATGTAATATTGTATAAAAAAGAACAAAAACTAAATCAAATTCTCTTATTTTCCTTTGATTTTTTTTTTCGACATTACCCGATTTCGGCTTCACACGGAAATAACTTTTTATGTTACTCATTACCAAGTTAATACTTTGTTGTATACGAGGTGTGTTCAAAAAGTATCGCGAATTTTGTTGTTTTTCAAAAACTACTTATTTATTCATGAATATCTATTTTGTCTCCTGCAAAATAATCCCCATGAGATATTATACACTTGTGCCAACAGTTTTTCTAATCTTCGAAGTACTTCAAAAAACCATTTTTTTATCTTCTTCAGCTCCTCCTTCGATGCCGTCTTTATCTCGTCAAGAGAAGCGTAACGTCGTCCTTTCATGGGCCTCTTCAGTTTAGGGAACAAGAAAAAGTCACAGGGGGCCAGATCTGGGAAATACGGTGGCTGCGGCATCTTTAGTCTGTTGTTTATGGCCAAAAAGTCGCGCACAAGCAACGATGTGTGGGCAGGGGTGTTATCGTGGTGCAAAAGCCAATTTTTGTCACATCTTCTCGGCTTTCTGAGAACATTTTGAACCCCCGATAAACGTTGCTTCGGTCCAAGGTAGCTTCTCAATATGCCACAGTCAACATTCGGAATGCATCCGTGCACTTAATTTCGTTTTTCACACAAAATTTGATACAGGTTCTTTGATCCATTTTTTTGAATAGGTAAAAATCGAAGACGATCCAAAACGCGTGCAAGCAAAGCAGCTGTCAGCAATGAAATGAACATTCAAAATGGCCGAGCTTGTCGGCATAAGTGAGAGACATGAGTWCCAACATAACGCCACAAAAAATTCGAAATTCGAATATACGTAACCCGCGAAAATTCAAAATTCACAATACTTTTTGAACACACCTCGTAGTCCCTTTTTTCAAGAAAGCTTGATATCTGTGAGGTAAGCTCTAAACCAGTGTCTGGCATCTACTCCGTGTCTCCATCTTTTATCGTTTTGTTGGTGTATCTTGGGTTTAAGATTTGTCCTTTCGAGCGATGAATAAACGGTATACGTTGCACCCGAACTTAGCCCTACTTTCACCTTTTTTTCCTAAAAATATATGAATTGTTTCATTAAAATTATTTAGCAAAAGATGATCATATTATTTTCTGAATTTTTTATGGAAATTCAGCCATTAAGAGCTGGTTTTCGCAGGGAGGGCCCAAAAAGGTCTCCTTATGGTGCTCAGTTTAACACACGAAGGATTCATCCATAATTAAGTTTCAGACGTTAATAAATGAGTATAGGTTATAATCAATCGAAGGATTTGAAAAAAAAGGAATTTTGGCAAAATTGTAAATAAAACAGTATGATTTTAGGATCAATTTTTATCACAAATTTCCTGGAAAATTTTAATTGTAATCGAAAAACAAATCTTTCGATTAATCTCGAAGTCATCCGTGATTGTTGAAGATTTTGTTGTGCACAATTTCTTTTTGAAGAAATCTCAATCTGAACTGAGTTTCGAACCGAATATCCTCACACCCTCATAAGCAATAAATTCACCTGGTTATACCCTGAACAGGGTACATACATATATTAAGTTTGTCACGAAGTTTGTAACACCCAGAAGGAAGACGTAATATATATACATATAAAGTAGGTATATATAAATGATCAGTATGTCGAGCGGAGTCGATTTAGCTATCTATGTCCGTCCGTCCGTCTGTCTGTATGTATACGAACTATTCTCTCAGTTTTTAAGATATCGTTTTGAAATTTTGCAAACGTAATTTCCTCTTCTCTCGCAATCAAGATCTTCTATGAAAAACTTTCAAATGATAACATATATTCACGAAATTTAGAATAGATAATTTTTTAAGGCAACAATGTAATCTCCGAAGAAATTGTTCAGATCGGTTAACTATAGCATATAGCTGCCATACAAACTGAACGATCGGAATCAAGTTCTTGTATGGAAAACCTTCACATTTCACAATGTATTTTCACAAAGATTGACATAGGTTATTTTCTAAAGCAACAATGTAATCTCCGATGAAATTGTTCGTAAAGCATTACTAAGCTTCCATACAAAGCGAACACATAGTCACTAACAGAAATGCACCTGTGAAGGGTATTTAGCTTCGGTGCAACCGCAGTTAACGCTTTTTCTTGTTTTTAACTAGCCGCAGCTATGCTCGTACCACCCAAGATTTCATAGGAAACGAATTTAAAATCGATCTATATATAGGTACTGATACAGATATTAACAGAACGTGCGAGAATATAGAACAGATAAATCTAAGCAAAATCATTGCCACCGCTAATTAAATGGAAATGATATAAGATCTTAGAAAAACTAAATATTTACGATTAATAAGGATGAWTGTACGTACTTATGACGCTATATAAAGTTGCGATTTGATTGTCTGACTATTCAGTTGTTGAAAACACATTCGAACCTAAAGAAGCACCTAAGGCCAGCAAAGATTATAAGTAGAGGAAAAATTATGAATTTCTGGGGCATCCTAGTGATATTTTCTGCCTGCGCAGCTTTTCAGGTACGTTGGGTACTACAAAATTATACCACACAAAAACCTAATGTAATGTTTAATATCCAATAGCTGGCAGAGTCGCGAATTCAGCACGATTACCGTCCTAACAGAATAATTGACTCTTCAAAAGATGGTTCAAGTTCATTTGTGCGAGGAGATGTTTTGGAGGACACTATGGTTTCTTATTCAGACGAGACGAAAGTGTATACTTTACAGCACATGGAACATTCAACAGAAACCGAATCAACACGGAAGATACGTTTGAGCTTAAGTGAAAGGCGTGAAGCATTATATCTATTTGCCGATAATCTGTATATTGAGTATTTGAAAGATTTCGTTGGTAAAACACGTGAAGTCTTGTATAATCTTATCCTTGAACTCGAAGCATTAACCAAGAGGAGTGACGATGTTAAAGGGAAACTAACTGAACTAAAAGCCACTCTAACAGAACTTGATGGCTTTGACATAGAATCCGATAACTTAGRCGAAGCCTCCGATATTGTCACTGAACTGAATAACGAGTTTGATGAACCTGTAAATGAGCCACCAGAAGTGGTCGCCGCACTCAGAAAAGTAAATTGGATGGACATGCGTTACGARCTGGGCGATGAAATGTTTGCAATTACCAATAAATTTGTCATAGCATTCAATAAATTTGTGGCTACACTCACGCCGTGGGAGCGACTGAGGGAGGCCGACTTAGTCGATCTGAACAAACGGTTTAACGACGACACAACTGTTGACCAATGGGATTTGTTCAGTGAGTTTTGGACATATTTCTAGTAATTTACAACTAAAGCTAAGATGATACGAACTTATATACCAAGACCTCTCTTATACTATACTTAATAACATTATATGCTGATTAACCTCTACATACCATACAATTTTATATATATATCACTTTAATAAAATCTTTGAACTTTAACTTTGCAACAAATGAATTTTTCTATGAAAATTACTTACATCTAATTAATTTTTAATTGCCCACTTAGAAGGAAACGTGAGCGCCACGAATGAATAGCATATGATTAATGAATGTTACTGCATTGCATCTGCTTACTTTATCCACTATCATATGCTTCATATGTAAATATCTCAGTTTGTAATAAAATTGTCTCATTTCACGGTATGCTGATTGCTAGCAATTTTTGGAACTTTTTTACGTAGACGTTGTTGAGATAGATGTGTCAGGTTTTCCAGAATCAGTTTTTGAACCCTACGGCATCTCCTTGAAGCAAACAAGATGAGTTTCAAACACCATTACTTCAACTATTTCGATGTTATCATGCTGTGGGCAAAAAATAGTAAGACTTTTCAATTTAAATTTCGCGCGAAAATTTATTCACCGATATATGTTTTTTCTAGGTTGGTATGACTGTCATTTACATCTGTGCCAATTGTCACATCGAAATAATAATTGGTGTTTGGTATACGTTTTTCTTTCTGAAGTATACAAGGTGGAATCGGAAACTATTTTTGATTTGATTACTACGATTAACAGTCAGAGGTATTACTGGCATCATTGTTATATCAGAAGGATCAGTGAATACCATTTTGAAAGATCATTTGAGACTAAGCAAAGTAAAAACACGATTGGCCCCAAAATCATTAAATTTTTGCGATAAACAGCGTCGCTTTAACTTCAGGGAAACACTGTTTTCCGAGTCTTGACTCTATGCTTAACAGGTTCCCTCTCCGCATACAAAGAATAATTTTTAACGGTACACGTCCAACACTTATTTTTAAATTATATTGCTGTAGGCGTTTTTAGAGGTTATCGATGAATTTTTGAACTATCCCACACATCTTGACAGTGATATAACGGCAACAAAAAATTTGTATCAGCTATGATACTCGAACGTGTCACTGCGAAGTTGAATTGCATGCGCTCAATGTATCATCAGTGATACATTTAGTAAACTTATTTCAAATTAACCAAATATTTGTTCATATATGATACATGGACGCTGTACACATAGCACAAGAAAATAATTATGTATCACATGTGATACATTGGACAGGGAACCTGTTAAGACCTGAAAACAGATGATACAACGATGAATAGCGTGTCAAAGTTGCACCGATGCCAAAAAACCACGTCAATACGTGGTCACAAATCAAAGCTATGTTGACAGTTTACATCGATTATCGACTTCCTTCCGACCGGCCAAACTTTCAACAAGGAATACTATGTTATTGTTGTGTGTCGGTTGCCGCCGGTATTATGGGCGGGCAACTCTTGGTTCTTACAATTATGCGCCGTCGCATACTGAATTGATTCCTCGAGAGGTTTTCGCAAAAGTTTTAACTAACATCGTGCCAAAACCATCGTATTTGCCTGATTTTGCTCCGCGTGACTTCTGGCTATTCAGCAGACTGAAACGACCGCTCCTGGAAAACCGTTTTGAGTTAATTGAAGGCATTAAATGTGAATTGCTTCGCTCCATGAAGGATATTGCGGAAATTGACTTCAACGAGCGTTTGGAGGTTTGAAAAAACTTTTGCAAAAGTGTATTTGGGCCAAGGAAATGAACTTTGAGATGCACGACATAAGTTTTGAAGAAAAATTTAAGAATTTTCAAATCAGAAACAAATTCTTACTATTACTTTCTACATATAAGACAAGTGTTCAATGACTTCACGGCCTTCACTGACTGCTTTGTGCTACTCAAAAACTTGTGTTTGTTAAGGAAAGGCATATGATGTCTTCTAAAAAGCTTAAAATGTTCCAACCCCTTCGAGACAGGTCAAGTGTCCTGTAGAGATGAATCAATCAAAAAAGAGTGATATGGAAAACTTGAGCTACTTACATACAATGCTGTTCAACGTTGTAGCAAACCATTCATCACGAAACCGAAAAAAAGTTAATACGATTGTT